ATTTTAGTTTTTTGACATTTTTTAATTTGCCTATGTTATTGTGCAGTGTTAGATATACGAGCATTTCCCGTCCATTTGTGAGAGGCGGGTTATTCCTACCACTATGGGGTCCACATAGACCAAGAGATGAAGGGGTAGGCCTACACACCTAGAAGATATTGTGGAGTACAGGAAGATGATTGATGTGCTAACCTTAGACGATGTCATTTGGGCACTCTATGCAGAACATAGAGTGCATCGGGAGTTTTATGACCCTTCTCTTTTTCTAGTTATTTGTTATGGGAGACCTTAGTGGCTAGACACTTATCTGAGAGGCGTCTGTGCCAATTTGGATATGTTCAGGACATTCCACGATCAGCCCCTACTATTCCATCTTAGGGCATTGATTTTCAATTTGTTAGTCAAGTTATCAGATATTCTCATGCCTTTAGCTATTGTGCCGCAGAGGTTCAGTTCTCTGTGTAGTGTGTGAATGGTTACTTTGAGTGGTACCTTATTGTATTGCACCATCACATCATCCCACCTAGGCATCATGAAGATGATGATGAATCTTCTCATGCTAAGGGACCTTCTGATGACATGTCGCCGCCTCCACCACATCCATATGGTGTGAATGATGCTTAGTGTCTGCAGATGATAGCAGTCATTATAGATAACCTCATAGGTTTGGTAAACCCAGATGGTGAGGTTTATGCTTTGGCATCGGAGACAACAAACACACTTAACCTGTGGGGACCTATTTAGACCTTATTACCAATTTTGTATTATTTGTATATTATGTGTAGTATTACTCAGACATTGGTACAACACAATTTATTAGATAACATTTTGGCACTTCCATTATTGCATGATGAACATAGCTTAACATTTGACAAACAGTTACATAACTTAGATAGCTGATTACATAACTTAACCAAACAATAATAAATAAGAAAACCTAAATACTACCACATGATTCTGGACGTTTCAACATCTTGATTTTTTCGTCGACAAATATATAAATTGTTGCATAAAACTTGATTCGTCCCTTAATTAGCCTACAGTGACATGCTCTCTAAATAATCTTCAAATCTTCATCACTCTTCAACTCAATACAACCGTATTTCACACTTCTATTAGTATCAATCTATGGTGCGAGAAATTCGATTTTACTCACCTTTATGTTATCGGTGTGGAGCAAAATATTATTCAACTTGAATCTCAAAAGAACGAGACATGTTGTAGTGTCCTCCAAGAGTCCAAACTCAACAGAAGGTTTCACCTCGTTGAAGTATACTTCTTCCTTAAGTAAATAGTGAAACATTATAAGATGTTTTACAATCCATGACCCATATTTATACAACTTTGAATTTGTTTTGGACCATATAAAACGGTCGGTACAATCATAGAGGTACAAAATTGTCGGCAAAATCTCAACCCTTGAATATACATTACCAAATTTTTAGATCCACTAAAAATTTGATATATGAAGGATGATTTTGAAAAAATTGATACTTTTTAAACCATCGGATTTTTCACGTTTAACAAAAAATCTGGTAAAAATAGGTACTTTTTATAAATTCGATTTATTTCACCACTTATTGATTTTTTTGAAATATCCGACATACATAATTTTTTATATAGACTACCAGATTTTTTGATTTGAATTAAATATTTTATTTATCTTATTGAATTTTTTGTCCAGACTTTTTAATAAAATTTTGACATGAGTAAAATGGGTATTATTAAAATATTTGAGATGACAAGTCAAACTATAAGAGTGACAAAAAAAATTCTCCTTATTCTTATCTACTTTGGCGAAGTGTCTTTGAATCGAATATTTCTATGATTAGATTTTCTGTCTTTTGAAACTTTAGCCAACCTAAAACATCTTGTAAATCAAAAAATATATTGTTTTGACAAATGACTAGAGCACAAATAGTTTAATGTAGGTTGTGCAATGGTAGTTTTGACATACATTCACATATTGGACAAGTACACTTTGGAGCAACTTTAGGACAATTTCTACTAATCATGGTTTATGTATTTGAGCTTACTTTTTCTTTCCCTTAAGTTAAAAGGATCAAAAACAAAAATTTGAAAAGTGCGTCTTTAGCAACATCCAATAAACATCCCTTTTATCAAATGGATAACTTGTGTAACATAATACTAATGTAATAACATCCTTAAAACCATCTACACTTCAAAACAATTTTTTAAAATAGGTTACCATACAGATCTTTAGTGAGAATCAAACTTGTGATATTTATTTTGCAGATGATATTGTCTTCATTGTCAAAGCTTTCATCGGTCTAACTATTTAAATAAAATATATATAATTGAAGAATTCTACAATCTCTGGCCAAAAAATAATTTATCTAAATTTAGTGTTTTTCGAATAACTTATAGGTTCAACTAAGCAACCAATGTTAGAAAAGAGGTGTTTTGAATTTGAAAAGTCCACTATTTATAATGATTATGCACCTCTTAATTTTTCAAATAAATATTTGGAGAAAATCCCATGAACGTTGTCATGGTTATGAAAAGGTTTGGAGATGAAAAGAGGTGACAAACAAATGCAATGTTACAGTATTTTTCAAAAATAAACAGAGGTAAATCGATTACCATTAAGAGATTAATTGATTACCCTTAGTTATAACATGCAAAAATTAGTGAGAAGATGGAGCGGATCATTGATTAGCTTGATCCCTTCAACAAGGGGTTAATCGATTATCATTTTGTTAAAAAATAAAATTTTCTTCAATCAGAAGCATGGATAAATGATTAGCCTATGTTTTCCTTGCCATGGTTAATTGATTATCATCTTGTGAATTTAGAGAAATTTAAAGTTTACCAATGCCACTTTTTGTCATTTTGAAAATCATACATAGGATGAGTTTTGAATTATTTTATTTGAGCATCTAAGATTTATATCATTAAAACATATTGTGCCTTAGCTTATTTTGATTAAAATCAAAATGTCATACCTTGATCAAATTAATTCCGTTAATCCACATCTTTGAATCATTCTTGTTAAGACACTTGAAACTTGTTTTGAAACTCTTATTTCATTGTTGAATCTTTTCCTTATTTCATCAAAACATATTCATAAGAGAGTTGTCTTCACAATCTCCCTTTTTTTTATGATGAAAAACATTTGATGATTGTTGATTTCTAAAAAAACTCTCCCTAGGTTGATTATCTTCCCCTTAACTCATGAACCTTTAAATTCCTTTAGATTGATAAACTTTTATTCCTAGAATAAAATAAAAACAAGAAAATAACAAGCATATGTATCCTTCTCCCCCTTTTGACATTATCAAAAAGAAGAAGTCAGGTAAAATATGAACGATAAAATCATACAAGAATCAATTATACATATGAAAATATAAACATAAGAGAACTTATCTTATTCACATGATATCAATATGAATTCAAAGTTGATATCAATGTTGGTGCTTCTTCAAAACATCTTTCATTCAATGAAACTTTTAGAATTACCATATCATATGGTTTTGTATCTTGAAAGATCAATTTAATAATACTAGCATATGATCTTCAACTACCTACAAAACAATTAATAGTGCTTTAGTTCAAATATTCTTTGGGTTCTCTTGGGTTAGATCCCTTTCTCACTCATACATACTCACCATAAAGAATACCATGATTTATTATCTAACAAGCATTAGAAGTGTGACATTTTCCATTACAATAAAAACAAGTAGATTTAAAACGTGATTCATTTTATTTACATAAACATTATTTCTATCATAAGATCTTTTATTATGATTTACAACATGTTCTTTCTTTGATTCCTTATTGATGAATTTGCTAGTAGCATTTACAAAGATAGTTTTACTTGTACTAAGTTTATCAAATTTAAAAAGTCAAGTGCATATTTATTATTTAAATTTTTTTTACTACTAATTACATTATCCAAGTCAATTTGTACTTTTTCATATTCGGCTATGACTTGGTTTAATTCCACAATTTTTGACTCAAAAGAAGAACAAGTATTGCATGCTAAATTTTTTATTAAGTTTAACTCCACTTTTGTGATATTAGTCTCACTTTCTAGATTTACAATAGTTTTCTTTTGTTTTGAATTTTTTTTAGAAAGTTTCAAAAATTCATCATGTAATTCATTAAAAACACTTTGTAATTCATCTTATGAAAGTATATCATTAATTTCATAATCACTAACCTCGTGTTCTTCATCACTTTAATGATGTGATGAAACCTTTTTTTTGCATGTGATATACATTTAAGAAGGATATCAACTTTTGATGATGATAATTAATGTCTTATGATAAGTCAAGCATGAACAGTTAAGCAGATAAATATGCAGACTTAATCATTAGGTTTTGTGATAGAAGAAATTGAATGGATTCTCATATTTATGGAAAGACTTAAATAGAAAGTCATTGAGATTAAAAAGAGGCATAAAACTTTATAGGATTTGAAAGTTCTTATAAAACTAATTGTTCTAATTTGAAATACTGAATTTTCTTTCTTAGGTAGAGTGTCTCCAAAACATGTGTGTGGTTTCATTGAACTGGATTAACAATCTCTAATGCTATTTTCACAGCTTCCTACATTGTTTTCTTATTGGTGTCAAATTGTTTTGGTACCGGTGTAAAAAGTTGGACAAATTGTTTCAATATCTGGTCCATCGTTTATCTCTTGAAAAACAGAATTTCGAAAATTAAAAAAAAAAAATTGAAAGAAATCAAAATGATGATGGTATTCAATTATGTTTATAAGTGATACAAGTATTAGTTACATCATTTATTAGACCGTTATTAACTTACTAACTTCTAAGTTCTAGTTACTAATCACATACTCAAAGTTAGTACTTATCACATAATAATAAAACTAGTTGTAACCACATATCGAGATAATTATGACTACCTGCCTACCATATTAATAACTACTAATGATCCTAATTAACACACACATTAACAACACTAATCATTAATAAACCTTCTCCATGCAAACAACTTTTCATTCCTTACTTTTCCTTAATCACCATCATCATTAAAATCTGGTTCAAGAGGCTTCCTTAATGCACCAAGAAGATCAAGTTCAGATCCATATCTCATACTCCTACCTTTCCTTAAACTACCTACAAGTTTTCCGGAATACATTGAATAACTTGATCCCATTGGAGCCTGCAAAGGTGCAGAAAAATATTGAGAATCATCATGTCCATAATACTTCACATTTGCCATCATCATAAGATTCTCCTTTTCCTTAACTTCGTTTATCTCTTTCATTCTTTTATACCGAAACCAAGCCGCTTGTATAAAACATGCCGCCCATGTCCTCCACTGATGTGAATAGAATCTAAAGGTTTGTCTCAGTTGTTTGCTATGTAAGCGGCGGAATTGCGCTGCTACAAACTTTAAATCCTCGGCAATGAGTGCAAAAGCTTCAACTTCGGTGATGGCTTTTACTGTTCGAGTTGAAGAAGGAAGTACGACGGTTGGACGAGGGTCTAAGGCCCATGGGAGAAGCTCTTCGCCGCAGAAGTCGCCCGAGCCTATTCTGCAGGTGTTGAAGAAACCAGTTCTGCCACCGTTGGTTGTGCAAGAATCTAGGCGTCCTCGAACGATGAAGAGCATTTCGTTGACAGGGTCACATTCGCGAACTATGCAAGTTCCGGGACTGCATAGAGTTGGCTTCAGCCTTTCACATATTGCATCTAACATTCTGTCATCCATCTGATCAAATAGTGGTACCTGTGCAAATTGTGTCCAATAAATACTTCATTCTTTTTTTGTTTGCTTGTTTCCCAAGCAACATATTTACACGACCGAAATTGAGATTGTATAATTCATATTTGATCAGGAATTTTCAGAATATTAAAGATTGAGACTGCAACTACAATTGATATTATGACTGTGAAGTTAAAACCCTATTTGTATCATATAGATGAAAACAAAGAATTACATACTTGTCTAACTAGATTAAGGCAAAGGTGGCGTTTAATGTCACGTCTTAGATCCACGGGAAGGTCTCTAAGAATAGCTTCCTCGTCAACACCACGAGTAGCGACCCATCTAAACTGGTCATGACGTCGAACATTTTGCTTCAGATAACGAGGGAGCTGCCTGTGATGCATCCATCTTTCTGTATCTGTCCTTCTTATTCTCCACTCCTCCAACCGTATAGTGGTCGATTGAAGGTATGTCTGTTATTCAGAAAATAAATTAACCACGCAATCGGTTAGCTTAAATTGTTAATCTTTTGTTGTAAAAATTGCTTCTACACAAGCAGTTAATTAAGCTAGACAGGTAAATAACAAGACTTACTTGCATATTGCCTATGAGCAGTGCAAAAAGCACCAATCCTAGAATTGCAACAATCACAGCAAAATTTATCTCTGCAACATGTGTACTTGTTAATAGATTCTGTCCTGCAGAGCTGCAAATTTAGCATAGAATTGGTTAGAATGAAAGATCGACAAAATTTTCTCTTCATGAACCATCAAACTTTTACACCCAAAATTTGAGTTACCTTAGATTCCTCAATCCCCACCAAAGACAGTAATAGTATTTGTTTAAGAATTTCGAGCTAGTTATTTCCAAAGTCAAAGCATCGGCGAAAATTCCAAACTGAAAGAAGGCGCTGTTATTATCACATAAACCCGAGACATTGCTTGATCTAAGCCAAGAATTCCTATTCGGATCACCAAGGCTTCGACAGTCAAGATAATGATACCGACAATGTGAAAATTCAAGTGTACAAGCTTTCTTCCAGCATTCATCTTGTCTTTCAATCGATAACAGGTACCATGTAGATCCTAAAACCTTTTTGAGATAACGAAAAGGTTAAGAAATCAATCAAAAGCAACAAAGTGCTTATAGCATAAGTGCTTAACATGTAAGTAACTTACATGACTAGCAAGCATATATAGTGTCAAATTATAAGCTGCACCAGCCCAAGCTTTTTCCATCATGACTCCATTCGCCTTGACAATTACAGACGATAGAGGATAAATAAGATACAACCTCAATAAGTACTGGAAAATGGACACGAGGCGCAATATATGCCTCGATGCAATCATTTCTGAACCCCTCAGATTTGGAATCACAGCCCAAATCAGTACCTAACATCATATATAAATTATCAAACACTTAGCGAACTTTGCAAACTACAAATTTTAGTCGATTCTTTGAAAAGTGTATGCTTTTGGAGGGTGAAATAAACATACCTGAGGAAGTGGAAGTGCGGCAACAAGATCAAACCAAAAGTCTCTACTGAGATAATTTGATGCAATCTTTGAGGAGTCAATAATGAGTTCACCTCTACCAGAAACACGAGACGAAGGAGCAATATAAGCGGTTTGAAACTTAACATAAATCTGAACAATGTAAAATGCATCAACCAATGACCTTATTATGGTAAGCGAAACTTCAAGACCAAGTGACATATCAATGCACTTTTCTTTCGTAGCAACAGGTAAGTAAAAGAAAAGCGGATCCACAAACAACGATATCAAACACGCTGCTAAGAATATTTTGTTCCATAAATTCACTCTAGGTCCTCTAGGATCTAATATTAAAATCTCTTCTGCGTCGTAATCTTCAGAAAACACTCTTGAAAGTTCTTTTACACTTGATGATAACTTGGTTTTCGCATCCCTTACATGCTTGTGTTGATTGCTCATCTCATACGTCGCCGTTTCCATTTGATTTTCTTCAACTTCCTTTAATTTCTCTTTTTCAAGATCATCATGAAACCTGAGTAGCACCAAAAATATTTATAAAAAATGAAAAGCAAAAGGTAAAAAAAATTATCGGCCAAATTTTAGTAGCAGAGATTGAACTCTAGCCCTACATAGAACTCATTCAGTGTCCAAACTCAAACCATTGGACTAATGCTTCGGAGATTGAAAATTATCAAAGGAAATGAAGTTGAAAATGATCATATAGTACAATCGAAATGTAATAACTATATAAGTCAAATAAATTAATTACAACATTAAAGGGAAGAAGATTATGCAAACCTCACAGATCTTGATTTAACAGAAACCATTGTTCTATAGTTTAAGTTTTACCCTGCAAGAAAACTTATATACAGGTGTAAAAAAACAATATTTGGAAAGGGTTTGATTAAAGAGCTCAACCACAAAATCTCAAAGCTAAATTTCCACGCCATTGTTTAGGCAGACATCATGTGACTGAAAAGCAGGACAAGTAAAGTAAACCATAGGTGCAATAGTCTTTTTGGTAAGACATGTGAATTTGATCCTGTATTCAAAGTCATAGTTCCTTGGACTTGATGGTGAATTTAATGAAAGTAATGAAGCGAGAATGTGAAATGAAATGAGACATAATGTAGGACTATGAAAATTGAGCTGTAAAAGTTAATCTCAGTAAAAAGAAACAGAAGATACGTTTTCTGCTCAATATATGTAGAAGTTCTCTAATTCAATGTTAAACTCTTGTGAGCCTAATAGTTAATCTCTAAACTGTTTGTATTTGTGACTATGTGAGAAAGCTGAATGCTAAGTCTTAAGACAGGTTATGAAGAATAACAGGAACCTAAAGATTTTGTTTGTGTTTTAACTTTTAAACCCGACATCCTCTGGGAGCGGTTGCAGCTAGTTTGTGTTTTAAGTCGAATATCCCCTTGGCACGGTTACAAATACTAATTTTTCGAAACTTTTAGTTATGCCAAAAGAGACTCTAATCATTTCATTCAAGTAAAAAAATTTGGTCATAGAAGTTTTTAAATCAATATAAATTAGTTTTACAGTTAGATTTAAAAGTCTTCTATTATTCATATTTTAACATAGATTATAAAAAATAAAAAAAAAAGATGATATATAGCAAAACATAGTACAAAATCCAGGCAGTATAACCGTGACTCCTTTGACAAAATTAAGGGTAAATGTTGAGATTTATTTATGGTATCCAAAAAAATTGGAAAGGTTATACAATCAATATCATAGCATTGAAGTCATAGCTGGACTTGCATCACAGTCACATAGCACAACCACCTCAAACCAAACATTTCCATGACTACAAGTGGCTTCTATCTAAAGTAAATGGAGAGGATCCCAGCCAGTCATAACACAAGACATAATATAGTCTTTAAATACTCATTACAGTTCAATTGTTTTTATATATCAATAGACAACTGAGATACTTGAGATCCATAAATAAAAAACAAATGAAAATACCAAAATAGAAAGATATCACGGGATCGATAGATAACATCATATTTTTTTCACCAAACAATAGTAAAATTCCGCATCCACATTATTGTTGCAAAATTGAATTGAATTAACCATCAATCATCGAGCAATCTACTTTACTAATAAAGCAGTAAAATACAGACTACAAAATCAGTTTAAAACAAAAACTATTGAAATCTAGAGCACACATTCATGTTTCCTTAGAGCATTATCTCTTCTTCAGAAAGAAGCTTGTTAGGTACTGCTACTTGTGTGTAGATACCAGTTCAGTTACCAAGTATGAAGTGAATTCTTTCGCAAACAGTTGCAAACAGTTGCAAACGTTTGTAAGATATTGATGAATTGCCACCACATAACTTTCTACTACCTGCTAACAACAAGAAGTTAAATCATTCAGCCCAATTCGTGAGGAAAATTGGCATTAGATCACAGCAGATAACATTATATAGGTATAAGTTAGTACCATAATCCTCTCTTGATCAAGTGAAAGGTAAAATCCTCAAAATTGACGAGCTGGTCTAGCACCTGCGGGTGAGACCCGTATAGCTCTGCCATTCAAGTCCTGCAACCAATACAAGATAATATCAGACTTCGATGGTTAAATACATATGTAGCACCAACATCCAAGACACCAACATCCAAGATTAAAGGTGTGTACAGTGTTAGTGTCAGAGATGCTACCAACAAGATATTATCATTGTTGAATTCTAATATGTAGCTTTTCAAACCCATACATCAAGATCATGCGAATGCAATACTCTATTATCTAAAAGCAACTTTAAAAACCTAAATTTGGTATGTGAATTGCACCATTTATGTCTTCTAGAATACACTGAAACACTGCAAATCAATACACTGAAACATTCACAAAATATTCTTTTTGCATAGAGGGATTTGTGCTTACCACGCCATCTAAGGATTGAATAGCCCTTTCGACCTCTTCAGCACTACTGAGAGTCACAAATCCAAAGCCTCTAGATCTTCCACTATCCCTATCATAGATTACCTTTGCTTCTATAACACTTCCTTGTTCTTGGAACAATGCCTCAAGTGACCCGTTGTCAACTCCCCAAGCAAGATTACCCACGTGCACACGGTGTTCGCTATCAGAACCACCTCTTGGAGGACCTCTAGAACGAGAACTGTCACCAAAACGAGAATTTTCACCACCAAAACGAGGATTGGCACCAAAACGAGGATTGTCACCAAAACGAGGATTGTCACGAGGAGGAGGAGGTGGTCCAGAATTAACTCTCAATTCTCTTCCATCCACTAGCTGTAAATTTCCAACAACAAATATTTTGTTCAATATTAATATGAAATGGCCAAATCAATTCATAACATAACAAATAATAATAAAACATATTCACATTTGACATCATATAAATCCAACTATAGGAGTTACAATGGATAAGATATGAATAAGGTACTACTGTAGTCATCCCCATATCCACATTTTAAGAAAATACTTGTAGCCGGAGTCATACATGCACCATTAAAACCATACATCTAAATACAAGTAACTTTTACTCAGCAATTCAACTAACTCGTAAATAACATTCATAGATAAACAAACCCTTGATTATACTCAATTTTGAAGTTTAATATCATAATTTTTATGAACAAACCGTTAACAATGAGCAAATTGAGTACTAGAGTACAGAACTCACATTCATAATCACACCCGACAATAACATTCAGATTTAGTTACTCACCCATACATACATACATCCATCAATTACCCTACTCAATTTCAAACAACTAACAAAGAACGAAATTCTACACAAAAATATCATAATAATTATCAAACAAATGAAGATATATAATAAACTCACATAACCATTGAACTGCTGAGCAGCAGCTTCAACTTCGGCAGCGGAAGACATAGTCACAAAACCAAATCCCCTGCTTCTCCCGGTAGTTTTATCATAAATCACCTGCAAAAACACAAAAACAATTTCACAATTTGACACTAACCCAAGTAAATTTAACACAAACCCATTATTTTCAAATCATAAAAAAACAAACTTTGAAAACTACCTCAACCATCTCAACACTCCCCGCACTTTCAAAAATCTCCGCGAGTTGCGCACTGTCAACACTGAACGGAAGGTTCCCGACAAACAGCCTCTGGTTAGCAGAGTAGCTACGAGTATCTCCGTCCTCGAAGGTATCCTCTTCCTGGTCAAAAGACGAAACAGCAACACGGGAAACAAAACGGTTACTCAGAGACAGCGTCGAACGAAGAGAGACAGAGGAAAACGGTTTGAAAGTAGTGTTGAGTGAGAAGGAAGAGGGTGAAGAGAAACATTGTGGGGAGGAGAGAGTGGTTTTGGTTGGGAGAAATGGAAGGGCTAGGGAGGTTGCAGAGGTAGACATTGTTGAGGAAATGGATAAGGTTGGGAGAAGAGGAATTAGGGTTTATTGTGTGAGGGTTTGGGGAAATGGAGTGAGGAGTGTGATATTTATGGAATGGATGGAACGGTGGGAATGAAAGTTGGAAAGGATTCATGGTGATAAGGTAAGATATGATGTTGTGTGAGTTTACTAATTTGTCCTTTGTAATTGTATGATATTTTTCTTTGTAGCTTTTGGGTAAATGTTTTGTGTGTACGTGGAAGTTAGAATTTGGAAGTGGTGAGTGAAAAAAACAAATGTAAAGAATGGGTTGTGATCTAATGGTTAGATATGAAATGAGATATATTATTGAAAGCTTCTTTACCACTGATTTTTTAAATGTTTCCTAATTTAGATTAACTTCTTGAGAAATGTTTCCTAATTTAGATTAACTTCTTGAGAAAAACAGGCTCTTTTTTTTCATTGATAAATTTAAACATATGATGATTATTTTAAAACATATGATGATTAATGTAAAATAATACACTAAAAATAAATAAATAATTGTTGTGAGTTACGATAAAATTTAATATTAATTTGTGAGGTAAAGAACAATAGCAACCAAAATAAATAGTCTTCTGCAAAAATAATCGGTACACAGTTGGACAAAATGGTAAACAACTAATTGTCAATATTTTTCTCTTTGCAACCCCTCACCTCTTGCCATCTATTAAGCTTTGTTTCTCTCCTCCCCCACAAACTTCTGAGTTTTGAGTCTTACCCATCAAACTTCTTGTCCTCCCACTGTATTGCTTCTTCCTCCCCACAGACATTATCAAACTTCTGGTTCTGCTGGTTCGTTTCTTCACTTCTGGTTCTGCTAACTTTTGTTTACATTGGTTTCATTTGCTTCTGCTTCTGTTTACATTGGTTTCCTTTGCTTCTGCTTCTGTTTACATTCGTTTCTTCACTTCATCGTATTTTTTGTTGTTATGCAAGTTGACATTGTTGTTTTGACAGTTGTTTCTGGTTCGTTTCTTCACCTTTTTTGGGGTTTTCATTTCTTCTGCTTCTGTTTATTGGTTTATATTGCTTCTGCTTCTGATTCATACAAACTCTTCTGGTTCGTTTCATGGTATTTTTTGTTGTTTTGCAAGTTGACATTGTGGTTTTAACAGTTGTTTCTGGTTCGTTTCAGTTGGTGTTGTTTTGCAAGTTGACATTGCAAGTTGATATTCATACATTGTAGGTTCTTCGGTTTACACTATAAAATATGCAGGTTGTTTTCATGAAAACATGTTTTTGTTAATATATTGTTTTTGCTTACAAAGAAATAATTTAAACAGTTGTGAAGTTGTAAGCAACCATGTCAAGACCCCCAATACTCATCAAGGACTTGGAGAAAGGGAAACAGGTTTGGAAAATGCTCATTAGAGTTGTTGATCTTTGTCTCTCCCGTTTTTCATCACTCTCAATTTTCTCTTCTTTCCTCCACAAACCCTAATTCCGTCCTTTTCTCTGTTTTCTCTCTTTTTCTCCATAAACCGTAAATTTGTCGCTGCCCCTTTGATGTTCAGAACTTTTCTTTTCTTCCAAAAATGATCTTTGAGAGACATGAGGAGCACATGTATGTTAATCTGGTTCAAGAAATTTGGTTTTCTTATTTTTATTTACCCGTTTCTTTCTGTTTATGTAGATCGAGCCGTCAACATGGACCACAGATCGAGCTAGATGATTGATGAAGCTTTCACTCATGGTCATCCTCAAAGGTTCTACATTTTTGAATATCTATTGTAGTTTTATAATTTGTATCAGTTATATGTTCTGTTCTGTTTAAAAATTTTATTGTTAGTTATAGGCACTAACTAATATGAACACGCACGCCACCTGTTCGATTAATTGCATCATTGATGTTTTGCCATGAACTTCTGTATTTGATGACTTTAGTCTTAATCCATTTATATAAATGTATACCAGCAGTAGTAGTAAATGTTATATAAATTACTAAAGTGTAATCTCAAGTGAAGTTATTTTCCAGTTTTTGATTGCTTGGTGGCTTGTGATTTAAGTTTCAAATATTTTGTTTGCTTCAAAAGTTAAGTTTATTTCTGTGTAATGACTTTTTGGGTTAAATTTGGTCGATTGATTTCAGTTTCTGATACTTTTTCCCTTGCTTAAAACTTATCCAAGTGACTTGGTATGTGATTTCAGTTTGTCATACTTTGATTCTTATGGTTAATTTAAACGGTACAGGTTTGCTTCTCCAAACCATAGGACTTACATTGGCTCTGGCAAAGTTTATGAAAGTAAGAGTGCAATTAATGCATTCAATATTGAAACTGTGATATTTAATGTCGAGTTATCTGTTGCGTAAGGTACCTTTTCCGTTTCTAGCTCATGTATGTTACGTTATCCAGTTCCTTACTTCCTATTGTGACTATTTTTTCCATGCTACCATTTTGTTGTTTGCATTTGACTACTTCATTTATTGAAAGTAGTTTGTCTTTGGAACTAACCACAAAATATTCAACAAAAAAAGTATTAATTTGCAAGTTCATGATTAATTTGCAGTTCTACCTTCATAAGAACTTTGTTCTGATTTTAAACTCGTTGTTTCTTTGTTTATCTTTTGTAGTGGTTGTAGGTTCATGATTAATATATGATCAGCGTATGAAAAATACGAGTAAGTAATATCTCTCATACATGTTTTAAGTTTGATTTGTCCAATCTTAAGTTATAAAAATGTAGTGAAAACAATTTCATAGCAGGGAAGCTAATACCTAACTTGTCATTTCTTTATTTGAGTAGGAAACTTGGCTTAATGCTTCAGATTATGGGTGAAGTTTAAAGTACATCGTGTGAGTATAAACCATGCTCTCAACTTGATAGCTAGACTCCCTATTTATATGAGTATCTAAAATATACTAAATCAAATCTTTTAGAAAGCTTTCTAATAAGATTGTGAGTACTTATTTTAATCAAATAAACATATGATGTAAATGTCACTTTTACTTTAGCTTGCATAATTTCAATAATAACATTGGTTGTGCTGCTGTAATTTTAAATTAGATGATGTTCTCTTTGATGTTGGTGTGTTATTAATGAGAATGAGGTACAAACAGTATGTATCACTAACTAAAGAACATTAACATTGACCTATTTGATGCAATGTTCTTCTTTTGAAGATAGATCTTTCTCTTTTGTCAAGGATGTCACTACTATTGGAGACATGTTATGTCTTAAGGATGTTAGTTACATTTTTTCCTAAATACATATGTTCCCTTTTAGAATGTTACATTATTTTGGTGTCTGACTATTGTGTTGTGTAGGAAACATTTTGCAATACCTATGGTACTACAAAAAGGTTCAACCAAAATCGTTTGTTCTAGTATTATGAGATATGTCCAACATGTAACAAAACTAACAAATCACCAGGCAATAAATTGGATTGCAACTACTCTGACACGAAATCTCCCCCGATAACCAAGTGACAATTTCATGCCATTTGAAATCAGGATGTATGACATTCAATTCAGTAATTTGATTTCCAACGTTTTCTTGGGTTTAATATCATTCTATATTTCTTAGGTATAAAATTGTGATCAAGGTGAAGCATGAAAACAAGGTCAGTAATTTTGTGTTTTTGGATAAGGAATGCATACCTATTGTTGGTATGTCTGCTCATAATTTATGACAGATTATGAAAACGGTTCGTGTTTCTATCACAACACTGTCATATAAATGACTAACTTTATATTTGGTTTAGTGTTTTTTATAATGATCAAATGTCTATATATGCAATATGCAAATATCAAATGTCTATATTATTCTAGACAATCTAACAGAGTTATTCTAGATGTAGGCGCTGAGAGATGATTTACTATGACTTTTATTCCTGGGGGTTAATTTATCCATTTCTTACTTCATTTTCTATTTCATGATTTCAGGGTGTTTATGGGTATCCAATTGAAATTTAAGCATTGTTCTTCATGTCTTTAAGATGTACCTTACAATTGCTTAAGCCAGATCCTGAAGGGAAAGAGTTTATGGAACGAATTATAAAACGCTTACATGACTTAAGCTATCATATGAGAAGCCACTTTTGGTTGGATTTGAAGCAACTTAATGATATATATCGCTTCAAAATAGAAGAGTACTCATATACCGCAGTCAACAAGTTCAATGTTATTTCAGATTCTTTACCAGATTGGATTTTTGATTTCATGCCCCATCACGGTGGATACTTTATTGGGAATGTGAGTCCAGCTAGGATGGATTTCCGCTGGTTTTGCTTGGTAATTGCATTGCAATTTTGTCCTGCTTGGCAACTCCTGAGCAGTCAGTTGCAATCATGGATCTCATTGAATCACGGTGGGAGGAACTAATTGGGGATATGCCTGTCAAAGTTTGTTATCCAGCCCTTGAAACCCATGAATGGAGAATCATAACAGGATGTGACCCAAAAAATACTAGATGGAGTTACCACAATGGGGGATCTTGGCCAGGTATTCTTATGCTACCATTCTTAATTTCATAGAACAAGTGTGTATGTGTGTGTGTGTGTGTGTGTGTAAATCATTAATAAAAATACACCACTTTTGAGGTAAAGCTAACTACATTTCATCATTAAACAAATGCAGTAGAAACATAGGAATAATATAATAGATGTAGATGATGAGTGCATGTTTGGATTAACTGTACGTTTAACAGAATTACGATGTATCATCGTGACTTAGATAAAAATTATATACTATGTAGTTTCAACAAAATCATGCCATTGTGATAAAATACTAATAGCTTGTCTCCAAACCAGGGATACTCTAAAGCCAAATAAAAGACATTGAAATTTCCACTTTATATTTTGAACACTTTTAGTATTTGATTTTTTTTAATATGACTCTGTTGCACATCATTTCAGACCCATGCTTTGGGTAGCTTGCTGCTACTAACCACATAGTATCACCTATAATCATTTTTCTCTAGCTGCTCAATCTCACTTGGTTCACTGCAGTTTCTCTAACCATTTAACTTTTCATCCACATGTTTGTGTAAAGTTGCACAAGTATAATACCTGAATTCATGTAAAATGTTGAATGTAAGTATACAATATCTTGGTATAGATAAATGACAGCATTCTGTCATGTCACTCTGCAGTAATCAATTTACTAATTTGTTGTTCCATCTCAACTTGGTCTTTGGTTGTTTAGTTCGTTTTAAATTGCAGCCCATTACATTAAAAAAGAATTGTATTTAAGGCCAATCAATTATGCACTTTTTGTCTGCTAAAAAACATTTTTAAAGCTCTGCCTTTGACTTATCACCTATTTTTGACACACACACAAGTCAAACCAACAACTTACAAAAAAAACTTTCAATTGTAAGTTTTTAGTTTTCATGTCATTGCGGTCTATGGATTAAACAATAGATTATTCTTTCTTGTCCCTAATTTCTAATAATGTTAGCATTTTATAATCATGTTATTGTCTTCATTTTTCAGGTTCTTTTCATAAATTGAAAAAAATAGATGACAATATTAATCAAACTCAACATTACATGTTCAACACTACATTATTACTGCGTGTGTTCGAAATTCCTTGTAGCATTAATAAATTTCCAGTCTCAGTTGTGATCTCTGGGATTTGATAATAATTGACATTGTTTTTAAAATGTGATAATTTTCACCAATGTTTTCACTAGGTTTGCTAATAAAACATAGATCTCTTAATTGTACTCTGAAAATGGGCTAATGGAAATTGTTCTTTTTGTCTTTTGATGTATTCTAAGATGTTTTCATGTTAAATATGTTAAATACTGATCGGTGACATTGACGCTCCGACGTTTTTGCTTATGGGCATTTATGAAGAAATGTTTTTGCTTGTCGTTTTCTGATTAGTTCTTTTGTTGTGTTACTGATGCAGGTTGTATCGGCCAAGGTCATACGTAATAAGCAAACTGATACCTCGGAGGGATATGGATTTGTCGAGTTCTATTCGCGAGGAACGGCTGAGAAAGTCCTGCAGAACTTTAATGGTGCAATGATGTCAAATATAGATCAACCATTTCGTCTGAATTGAGCTACATTCAGCGCTGGCGGCGACGGTGGTGGTGAAAGGCGTTCTTCTGAGGCTACTTCTGATCTCTCTGTTTTTGTGGGAGACTTAGCCATAGATGTTATCGATGCTATGCTGCATGAGGTGTTTGCTAGCGGATTCTCATATATTAAGGGAGCAAAAGTTGTCATTGATTCTAATACTGGTCGCTCGAAAGGATGTGGTTTTGTTAGGTTCGGTGATGAAAGTGAAAGGACAAGGGCAGTGACTAAAATGAACGACGTTTATTATTCTATCAGACCTATGCGTGTAGGTGTTGCAACGCCCAAAAAAACTTATGGCAATCCACAACAATATTCTTCACAAGGTTTGATTTATAATTGTTATCATGTTTGATTGATTGTGTAGTAATTGGTATATATTATGCGGTCTAATTGTTCAACAAGTCTCATTATAAAAACTAATTATTTATTGTATATATTTCCAAATTTCCTTTTTTTTACGTTTATAACACGAGTGAGTTATCATTGTAACGTAGTAATATAACATATCGTGCTTCAGATTAGAAATTCAAATAGCTGAATTTTTCCTATCTTAACTAGCTGTAGTGTTGGCTGGTGGTGGTCACTCCTCTAATGGTGCTATGGCCCAAGGTTCCCAATCTGAAGGGGATTCTAACAA